GTCAATATTTTCCATAGGAAAAGCGGCGAAGCGTGATGCGGCGAACCGTAGAGGCCGTGTGTGTAATGAGTTGACAGTGTGTAACAGTGTTCCAAGTGGGCATGATTCTGGACATTGATATCTGCACCCCTCGGCCAAATCGTTGGACACCTTCCGGATATTGCAAGCAAAAGACGAATAGTTGTAATAGAGTTTTGTGATCTACGTTTTTCATATGAAGAATTGTGTAATCTTATTTATTTTATCTAAATTGTGCCGATTACACTCGTCATGCATAATATAATAATAAATATAAGTTTGAAACATAATCGTATCACTCAAAGTCAATATTTTTAATCCCTCTGCAATATTTATAATTTAGAGAAATAAAATTTAACCTGCGTTGCTATCTATTTTAGTATTTAAATTGTGTCGATTATACTCGTCATATACAGAGATTAACATTATCATATTTTAAAGTTTTAAAGTTTTATCACTCAAAGTCAATATTAATTTTTATAAATTATGTTATATATGGAGGAAGTATTCAAGGAATAAAATTTAACCTGTAATAATTGCGTTACAATCTGTTCTACAACTGTTTAAACTGTACTGAATATATATAACTAACCGATTTTAATAAATATAAATATAAATTTTACCATAATTGAATTTATTGAATTTATTATATAAGGATCATGAGTTTTCTTTTTTTTTTTTAATTCAAATAAAAAAAGAAAAGAAAGAGAGTTCAAGAAAGATTGGAGAACAGTGATATAAACCAGCCTTAATGCGGCGACCATATAAATCTAGCATGGCCCGTTATTAAAGCATCACTCTCACTCTATCCGAGAGGAGAGATCGTAAAAGGTGTTTCGATCCCGTGATATAAGAAACGAAACGTGCGACAATGCAAGGTTTTACGAACGCGGCTTCTTCCGTACAGGCCTGTCAATCGTTCGTAACACGACCCGCTACTCACGGAACGTAACGGTGATACCTAATAAAGTGTCGCCGGATTATTTTTCACCGAAGGACGCTCCTGTATAGAACCTGTGAATTGACGTCGTGCCATTAATGCAATATAATCCTTCGTCCACTTCGCCGACACGAACCGTTGTCTACGTACGAACGCGGTGAAAAAGTGGCGGATCGACACACTAGCGCCACCATCATAAACTCGAAGGACGCCTACGAGACGTTGATATCGAAAAATAAAACCGAATCGAGACAAAAACAAATATCTCAAAAAGATGCCAAAAAATTTCCATTTTGACTTTTTTCTTTTACAGATTTATCCTTTTCTACATTTTATCAAAGATCTAATTCAGTCAGATTCCACTATTATTAATATTAATAAGTATTCTATTTGGATTTCATTGTTCAACTTTTGCTCGATATTGACGACAAGTAATAAATAAATTATACTATATTCTCATAAAATACTCTTAATAATTAAACTTGTCTATAAGATTAACGCATTAACAACTCGACATATAAAGATGGCTTTCTCTCTCTCTTTCTCTCTACGTTCTCACTTCTGACTTCGTCTAAGATTTTACTTTATGCATGGTCCTTTAGGGGCGCTACCATCGAAACTTCTCCTCGTAGAGAATTTTCGCTCGATTCGTGTGCCATCCCATGTTTCACGACGCGAAATCGATCGCGTTCCCGCGATCCATGGCGCTCATCAATTATCGTTGCCGGTACTCGAGACCGACGCAGCCGGTCGGGAGGTTAATTAACCGCGTGATTCCAAGGCGGCGCGGCGTCTGCAGTGCGGCAATCAAGCGTGGCCTCCCAACAACCGCCGTTTCTACCTTCACCATCGAATGCGTTTCATGCGCGTTGTATCGAGAAACGCGCACGCCATATCGATCCAGGGCCAAACGCATCTGTGTGCACGGCCGATCGTCGGATGAGAACAGCCACCAAATTGATTTTCTTAAATTTTTAACGGCGAGCCAAAATCTCATGTACATATAAATTATTGTATCGTATCTTGTTTCTCTTCAAAATTTCTTAGAGGTTAACTACACGCTATTCTGCTTTCCATTTCCATATTAATAAGCATTATAGTTAAAAAGTAGAATTAAATAGATAGACTCTTGTCCACCTCTTTCAAATTTCAAATTTCAAGTATTTTCTAGCATTACATTGCGCGAAGCGTTTACGACTATGGTAGGAAAGAAATATTACGAGCCAAACTGTTTCGAGATACTGTTCGCGACCGATAGAGGTCGTTCTCTTTAGATACGCTCCAAGTGCAGTCACGTGACACTGTGCCGCGACGAATCGAGGCAGGAGACGAGTCGAGTCGTGTCGAGTCGAGTGAAGGGTGGGGAGGGGAGGATGAGGAGAGGAAATGGGAGAATAGGATGAAAATGGGGGAACATCGACGAGGGGTAGAGGCTGGAACGATATATCGGGGAAGGGAGGGAACGGTAATCGGCAGCAAGTGAATTGGAACAAATGCAGACAGACATGAGGTGGGCTACTGGCTCGCTTGATACCGCAACCAAGAAATATAGTATAAACCTAGTGCACTGGTATTAATTGAGTTCTCTCTCCCCTCCGTCTCCTGTAACCTGCCTCCCTCTCCCCTCCCCCTCCTCTTCCATCTTTCTCGACGGCTATTTTGTCCGGCTTCAAGACGGAACGAATCGATGAAATCGTTTCTAGAAGGGAGAGTAGGTGAAACGAGAAGTCGCGGCGAGGATCGCGACCCAAGATCGGACGGATGCGTCTCTCGATGCGTTTTATGTTGCTTAAAAGTAAGATACCTGGTTGGTACGTTGCACTTGAGAGGAATTAAGAGGAAAGACCCAGTTTTTGTGAATTCGAGTGTCATTTGAATAATTCATACGATTCAAATTATTTTGGATCATTGAGAACAATGTTTGTAAAAAGAAAAAAAAAAAAAATAGGTGATTTTAAGCAGCGTACATGGAATAATGGTGAAACAGTTTCGAATCGGAAATTTATCGAAACGTTAGAATTGTACGACACGTTCACATTGTATGGGGGAGGCAAAGATTATACCATGGCGGATATGTAGGGTATGAATTTGTAGATTTAATCGGGATATAACTGGTCGTATCCGAGGCCAAATAATGGCCGTGAAAGCGGAACGCGTGATATTAAACTATTATTTGCGTAAGTAGTAATCCAAATAAGCAGTCAATGATAATGCAGTTGTGCGGAGCCTGGTATTTATACGATGTACCACAAACGAGTCCCGTAATCGATATACTTGATATACAAACGGATCGAGAACAAAGGCGACGATACACTATTATCCGCGAAAATTCGTAAGGTTTTGAAAAAGCTTGCAGGTATAAATACGTAACGTAAACAAATACAAAATCCGTCTTGTTAATATCTTAAAGAATGAATCTTTCACAATTTCCAATCCAAGCGAGTATCTAACAAAGATTTTCGATAATTCAATTTTTATATACATCTTACAGTCTATCATGAACTCTACGAAATAATTATGTTACATTAATTAATTATTATTAATTATGATTCAAGAGTCAAAAAAAGTCAAAAAAACGCGACTATCAATCGAAATAATAATAATAATAATAATAATAATAATAATGATAAAAAGAAACGCTGTATTTTTAAAGCTTTGTTTACTCTTAAGTCCGCGACGCGGCGCTGCGATCGCCGCCAGATCTCGACGATCTGGGATTTCGCCTTCGAACTTAATATCCGGCCGCGCTCGTAGACGACGCGAGGAAGTAAAACTAATTTCGTAAATCCTTTAATCTACGCGTTTGCCGGGGAGTCGAAGGAAGATTATAGAAGCGGCAAGAAATGAGGGATGAGGATCAAGGGGGAGGGAGGAGGAGGAGGGTAGACGGGTGAACCGAATGGTCGAGAGCGTGGTTCGCGCCTGTTTGATGGAATATGATGAACGAGCCACCCTGAACTTTATTATTGGCAGCGGCAGATCGAGTCGAAAGAAACCAAAAAAAAAAAAGAAAAAAAATAAAAAAAAGTTAAGCCGTCAGTCAGCCGGCGTGTATCGTTAAACTCTGCGTCCAGAACGAACTTCTCTCTCTCTCTCTCTCTGTCTCTCTCCCTCTTTGTTCATTCGACAGGCCATTACTCGATGATCGCGCCTGTTCGCGCGGATATTTCCCTGCGCCCGTTCGTTTCACGCTGCCGATTTAATTGTTGCAATTGAAAGTTCATAGGTTGCTCATTAAGTCGCTCGTTAAAGTTCGTTTGAATCCGGCTGGAAGACTGGCCGGACGAAGGGCCATCCAATCAGGGCTCCGCCTTAGAAGTCGAATCGTTACGTTAATTTCTTTTGTCTAGGAGGGAGGGGGGAGATCGATGAGATCGGTGCTTCCGCTTAATGAATGAAGATGACGGTTGTTGCGTAGCTCTTTTTTTTTTATTGTAAGTTACGAACGTTTGTTTGTTGTTGTTGCAATTTTTGCTAAAAATATCACGTGCAATTTGATGTAGATCTCTTCAATTGCTCGGTATAAAAGATAATATGATTTTAAAAAGATATACATATATTTTTTTTTAATTTGATAACTTTTTTGAAAGTATCGTTTATTAAAATCGCCAACTTCTTCACATATTTTGAAGTTGTTATGAGTTATATGTATGAGTTATCGATTAAAAAAGAAATAGTTATTCAATTATTAATCGTTCCATATTTCAAAATTCCCGATTTCAATAAACAATCAATCAAAAGTATCGTGGAAAAATTTAAAAAGACGAAGCCGACAAGGAGAACTAATATTCCATGACGGACAAAATCAATCACCGCGACGGTAATACTTTTCCCTGTTCCCACCCTGAAAATCCGCAGTCCCTTCGATAAATTACCAATTCCCTCCCCCCAATACGTTCCTCTATAACTCCCATCAAACACCGTTCCTTCCCCCAAACACGTGGCCCCCGTGATACCGGCCACCTACGTCCGCGAAACTTTTCCCCAGGCCGGCGCAAGCCTCTCGATCAAGGCATTAAACATCAATTATATCATCACTCACTTCCATACTGTTGCGCCAAGAGGGAGGCGAAGACCTGGCCCGGGCTGCGAGCGCCTCTACCGGCGGACGAAACAGACGCGGCGCCTACGGCGTGACGGGAATTCTCCTCGTCGTCGCTGCTCGATTGAGCACTGGGCCCGTAACCGCGCCTCTCTCTCCATTCTAGGGACCGTTGACGGCGCAGCCCACGGCCCCCGTTCCCGTGACCGCGGCCCAGCGTGCCCTCGCCGTCCATCACTGCAGCATCTATAAATGTAAAAGTGGGCGAAATCATTTTTCTTGCGTGCAAATTTGTGACGTATAATGGTATTTTATCAATTGAAGAAATACTTTTAGGGCACAGTAAAAAGTAAAAGTAAAGGTATTAGAGCAAAAAGTATTGGATGAAGTATAAATTTTAAACGGAATGAGCACGTAAGGCAATAGTGCATAAAGTCTGTCTTGTTCATTGGGCGATTCCGAGTTGAAATTTCATAGTCCAAAGAGCAGCGAATGATCTTAAGGCGGTCGATCAAGCCAGCTGGATCGTACCCCGAAGCATCAATCAGCTGTCTCCGTAATCAAGGGAGAGCTACTCGCTGTGAGGACGTCTCCATGGGAATTTCGAGAGGTATCCACCACTCAATTATCCGATCCCGTACACATTCAAGCTGCTATCGATTTCGAGGTACCCTGTTCTCCGCACAGATGAGATTGAGTAAGTAATTAAATATTCTCGCCAGAGAATGGAATAGTTTTTCCCTTTTTATCGAAGAATGTAAAATGGCAAATCTACTTACTATCTTGTACATCGCATTAATAAACGAAATGGAGATTTCGATGATGGTTATAATTAAAATGTTGATAAAAGAAGCGTTTCGAAGTAGATATAATATGCGTAAACACGTAAACATGGGAAAACGGGGTCCACACGCATGGACTGAAAAACGGGGTCTACATGCACGGACAAATTATTCTGCAATATCTTAAGGAACGAAATTTTATATGTAGGTCAAACGCAATCTAATGTTCGAGGATTGGATCATTATTTTTATTCTTATTACTTAATTTCACTAGTTCTCGGCAACTTGGAGTTAATTACCAACTTCTCGTAACAATAGACGAGCCAAATATTGGAGGAGGCGTGGAAAAAATTTCGCGCAACAACTGTGTATCCGCCGGTTACATCGGGAAGGTTTTTACACGGCCCAGAAATCATCGGCTGCCACGTTCGTTTCAATTTCAAACGCTTCGGGTCAACATCTCTATGGAAGAGCAAATAAATATTCAGGTTCCGGGGGAACGCTGAAAACCACTTGAACCACGTTGATTTCAACGGCGGCGGGAGGATGGGCGAACGAGAGGCAGCGGTACGAGAACGAGTTGGCCTCGAAATTAAGAGCAACTAAAAATTCCGCCGTTAGTCGAAAGTTTATAAAAAAAAAAAAAAAAAAAAACTGAACGCGATACTGCCAACGTTCTACCGTTAGGCCATGAAATATTATGTACAGGATGACACGATCATTTTTGATATTGTGTATCTGTTATTCTGGATCTGTCCGAATTGTTTATTTACAAAAAACGAGCCTAGAAATAAAAATGTCTGAAAACTTCTAAACATTTTATCGTCGAATATATCTTAATTTAAAAAAAAAAAGAAATATACAATTGAAACGTACTTTTATATTCTACAAAAGAAAAAAAAAATAGTAATCCTGAAATAATTTATCCTGTAAAAAAAATTTTGAACATCGTTAAATTTTGATAATAATCAATAAACATGTATTGCTATATTTAAAAAATAATATAACAATAACAAAAAGAACATTAATTTCGAAAGTATTTTGCATATCCTGTCTGTTGCATACCATCAAACGTTACTTTAAATAAATTTAAATGCCGGGGATAAGCCATCCCCTGAAAACACGTTCTTATGCATCGCCGGCCACATCTAACAGCCACTTTTCTCACTTGCCTGAATGCCTGGCTAAAAGGTCGCATCCTCTACAGACAAGAGGGTGCTTTACGATGTTTTGTTTCACCGACCCTTCAGACTACTCCTTCTTCGTTCGCGTGCAAGCGTGCCCAGAAAGTGATGGTGAACTTGTCAAACCGTAAGTGAATTGGAAAACTATCGAATTAATGAATTCTACTCCTTCTTTCTCTTATCAGAAATATATTTTATTCAACTTGCGAGTCAGTGAAATTTCGAAAAACTATATATTTCCTTTATTTGAATTTTTAGAGATTTAATTGATTAGAAGAAAATCCTGAAAAATAGTATTTAACGGAATTGATAAGTTAATCGAAATTTATCAACTATAGTTTCCAAAAATTTTAACAAGAAAATGGAAATTTGAATTTATTTCAATTTCGAAGCAATTCTCTTTGAATTGAAAAAAGAAACGATGTCGATTCTGCATGATGTCGCGAATAAAACGCTTTATGATGCATCATTTACGATCACTGCCCTTCCACCGTTCGTTTCACATATTAAGAACAGCACCCAACCTTTTAATAGAACACTTTCATAAGGAGCCATAAACGCGGACTACTCAACCGTAGGCCACTCTTATTGCTATAACTTATAACACGTGGCATTAACGGTCGATAATATGACAGTCTTGTACAATATAAAAACTTTTACGCGAAACCCTGTCGCGGAGTTGCTGACTATATATCTGATACCGTGTATCTTTTTCACGATGTAAAACTTTAGGCTTTGTATATAAAGAAAAGAGGGACCATCCATTCTTTTATGAAACGGTCCACATAATGCCCCTTTTAACTACTTCCCTATTCTTAGCTTGAATATTTCCTCGAAAGAGGTTATCTCGTAAGGGCATCTATTATAGATCTTGCTTTTAGAACTATCTTCTCGCTATCTGTATCGTAAGAAAATATTTTTGATCCGATAAGAAAGGACATTAGTCATTTTCGAAGTGGAAAGTATTAATTTTTACGCGTGAAGTTATATATTTTTTAAATTCTTTTACAAAATAATTGGTAAATATATTTATATTCAATGATTTACGCATATTCCATACCAAGATCGATAATAATGTCGAACTAGTTTAAATTAGTTATAAGAAAGAAGTAAGAAAAAACAACTAGCGCCATCGACATTCAAAAACGAACGAACCTTACATAATGCATGTCTGTGCTAGCTTATGAGAGGTACGCGAGATTGTCGTTAAGAAAGTATCGAAAAAGTTTTGGTTGACCCGTTGTCGACAACTTCTTGGCAATAATATACACGTGTGACCCGGCCCGGGTAATAAGAATAACTTTTTCTCTAATACCCGTGCTCGTCTTGACGTCGGATGTGTCCAACGAATCTTCTCTCCTCCCACCATATTCTCTCTCGCGTTCAATTACGATTCTCAAGTTTCGCTCGTGCGTGAAATATGACGCCGTTGCCTCTCGTCGGGCAAACAACGCCGCGATGACTCTAATTTCCTGGACAAAAGTGGGATCTCGGGAATGGGGGGGATTGTTTCAGTCGACTCTGTGCGTTTCTCGGGATTTATTAACCGATTTCGAACTTACGATCGATGCTTGAAGTTCGTCGTTTGATATCTTGAAAGAAATTTATTGGGCAAAAAAAGGAAAATCTTATTTCACCTTGAACGATCGAAAACTTTTTTTCCCCTTTGTTGATAAAATCCGCATTGCATTCTTATGAAAGAAAGAAGAGGGCAAGGAATATTCCAATTCTAAAAACTAAATCAATCAACCTAATTCCCAAAGTAGACTGCCACTTATCTCGCGACAATCCTCCGTTTCGTGACTTAAACCACTTATTAAATCCAAACTATCGTTAGTCGGAGTCCACAGTCAGCTCAAGAATTCTTTAATCGAATTCAAAGAACATCGAGCAAAGTTCTTTCGCGACGATAACGCAAACAGGTTTCCGAGAATGGCGAAAGAACGAGAACGAGTTAAGCGGTCACCGAATTCCATCTCCCTCTCTCATTCCCCGTAAACATAAATCAGTCTGCAGGAGCCTCTCGAAAAGAGGTTAAAAAGCTGCACACAGTCCTACGTACGCACGCATACTTGCGCGCATGCGCAATCATTACACGGCATATCGCTACGAGCATGTGTATGTGTGTGTAACACGTAAAACCGCGAGAAATGTCGCGTCGTAATACCTACAGCGAAGAATATAGTGGCACTCCGACTTTCAGGCCACGAATTCAGTCTTAGAGGCACGCTATAAAAGGCTTTAAGAGTTTCCCCGTGTACGCGCGAATTGAGCGAGATTTGCATGGCAGTGGCTCGTGGCGGGAATTCCGCGTGAAATGTCGAGCGACTTTTTTAAACGGCCTAACCTAATGAACGCGACAGCCGGCGACATTGTTCAACTGTTCCACGGCCAAGCTGGACGGTTGCACGATGGTAAGAAGGGCATCTGAATGCATGAAACATAGGCAGTGCCGCTGGTCGTGCCGTCGGATATGCTTCGTGAGACCGACAATTTTGCATATTCATCGTGCCTCGTAGACGTGGATCCCCGTTGCTCGTCAACAGGGAGGCCACGCTTTGGTTCTTAAACGTAGCAGACACCGTACCTGCCGTCTTCTATTCGCGCCATCTCACCATGCAGGGTAATTATGTCTGTCTGTAACCTCGTCGATGAAATCCCCTCCGAGGGATCCTTTCCCATTCTCTCTCTCTCTCTCTCTCTCTAAACGTTCCTCTCGAGTCGTCCTCGATGACTATGCTCCTCGTGAAAATTTGAATAACCGTTAATTACATCTTTCCGCACCGTGCGACACTCGCATCGTGTATTATACGCGTATCATTAAATTTGCTTTGTACGCGGCTCGCGAAATTCGTGATTGCCTTACACGTACGCCGTGACACGCGTGACACCGCCATTACTCGTGTTGAATACGTGTATACACGAGATGGCGCACGCAATCACGCCGTGACTGTTTCGCCGAGCGAAAAGCGCTGCCAACGGCTAAGGCGATCGAGCGAGCGGGGCACACTTCGATGAGTTATGTCATCAATCTCCGAATCTTTTTATTGCGTTACGCAAGTATCAAATTTCAGAGCGTAAATCTACACGTTTCTACTCGCTCTTGTAGCCGATAGAATGCGATGGATCGTCGTACAAGTTGTTGCATTGAATGCGGCTCTTGGATAGTGGTACGAAGTTTGTCGATCCACTCGAAGGTAATGTAATGCGTTGGAAGAGGCGTACGAAATGATGCGTGCGTAATGTTGCTTGGATAATATATTTAAAGTATTGGTATAAAGGGTGTATACACCGATATATCGTGGCGATAAATTTGAAGTATGATTTCGACAGCCGCAAAAGAACGTCTTATTTAGATTTAATTTATTTCTCTTTCTTTAAATTATTATCATTCATTCGATAAAACAATTGATTCTTAATCGTGATAATAACGAAATAAAATTTTCACAGGTATCCACCGTTTCTCACTCGTTCGTCATCAGTGTCAAGTTTCCGCCACGCGTATCATCGAACGTTCCATTACTCTTCGACCGAACGAACGAGGAAACCGGGCGATTCGCGGTCGCCAGTCGGGAGACGAAGAAAATTACACGAGGCGCGGGACAGGCGGTATTTTGCGGCGCAGAATGTCAATTAAACGGTGTGGCCGATTAACCATAACCAAAACCTCGACAAAGGCCAGGACCCGTGCACCGTTTCGCACTCCGGTGGGTTCATCACGCGATAATTTATATGGTAATTCCAGGGACGTAATAAGTCCCCCTTGGCAAACTCTGGCTGGTGGTGCCACTACACACGAGCCAACGTATCCAGCCCACGTTCTACCACGCTGACCCCGGACGTTCCATCGGGAGAGAGAACGAGGCTGCCATGTACACATCATTACTAAAAGCGGTCATCGATTCATCGAGCCTCGGACCAGCGACGCCCGTTCTCTCGTCTGCCCGTCGATCCTGCTCTCTTGTAAGCGCGTACACGCGCCTTTATGCGCGATCACGACCTCTGATCTATGCGGTGTACGTGTGTGCGCGAGAGTGTGTGTATAGAATGGCGCGGCCATTGTCGAATTTTCCCACCACGATTCTATGTGTTGGATTTAATTAACACCATCTCGTTAACTTTCGTTACGGATCGCCGTGTTCCGATAGGATCGACGGATAAAGATGAATTTAAATATCGAGACCTTTGCCCTTCGTGATTAGCCTCGGCTCTATGATGGACTCGTTAGATTATACGTATGCGGCCAGACATGGCTTTTTCTCGAATTTCGTTTTTTCGTTGGAGATATGATGGATATTCGTGTGGGTTTTTTTTCTTGTTTGTGTGTGTGTTTTTTTTTGGGCAAAAAATTGTCTGTAAATAGAATTTTTTTAGATAAAGATTAGGTTAGGTAATTTTTTATTTGATACTTATATTTTTAATTTCTCAGTCATATAGTTATAAATTGAGCAGTGTTAATGTTGAAGATACTTGTAAATATTTTGAATTATGAAATATGAAGAACCATTAAATATTCTTAAGGTGTCAAGTTTGAAAGAAATTGATTCTTTCTATTTCCAATTTTTACTTTTATCTTTCACGAAGTCTTCGAAAAGAATCTACTTAAATTTTATCAGACAGTTTATATTAAAATCTCGTTAATTTATGACATATTGATTTACACAAACAAAAGAGGGGAATGGATGGATCGTTAAAAAGTGAATAATATTTATATTATTAATCTAGTCTCTTGTCAAAAATTTTGAACAGATATTTGATGATATTTTTTAAGTGAAATTTTATATGACCAAGTTCGGTATACATTTCGTTACAGATAGGATGGCGAATAATTGAAGTTCTTGAACGAAACGATTATCGAACAACCGCGACGTGAAATGTATTCCAAAAGTGACTGCACTCAGGGACGATGTTGATTCACGCGGACGAGAGAGAGAATATTAAAAGCAACGATAATCGATGAGGATGGATGAGGTTATAACGTTACGGTGGAACGATTTACTCATAAATTTTGTTTGCTTCCGCGAGATCGAAAAACCGCGACGAGCGGGGGTAGAGGGTGATGTTACACAATAAAATATATGTATACGCCGTGTAATTTTCAAATAAATCGAATACATCAACAATAAGTGATTGTACTGTGCAGTATAATAAAAAAAAAAACTTGCGTAGTATAATAAAAAATTTATTGCTTTCAAAATTAATGTGAAAAAAAAATTCATGTTAGCGAGAAAATTTATTTTTTTATTATAACAAATAACATACGCATATTATAATTAATATCCAGAAAAAAATGACAATCCAGGTGTTTTTTACAAAAATTTTAATTTTTCACGAATTGATCATTTTTTTTTTTTTAAAGTATGGACTAATACTTTTTTTTAAAAAGTATTTAGTTAAGTATATCGTCGATACGTGGCGCTGCATTGTTCTGTTTGTCAGCTTTGTGTTATTACTATTCTACAGTTACAGTAAAATAATTGAAAAATAAACACTTCGACAAATATATATATATATATTTTTTTGTGTATCAAATTTTTAGATTATTATTAATTTTTTGTGAAAATAATATGAAAATATTTACACGTACGTCTTTATTTACGTAATACTTCAGATATAGTATTCCTATCCATTTAGATTCCAATTTCATGTTTCACTTGTTCTCGTTCAAAAAGCTATTTTTATTTATGGAGATTATTTGTTTGATTATCAATTTACGAGCGAAACACTTTTTGAAAATAGAACAAATAATAAAATAAAGTCACAACATGTTTCTACGAAAATTTAAACAAAATACGATCGATTATATTGATTTTAATAATTAATAATTACATCAATCGAACGAATGATGTGACGAATGACGAATTCAATTTTTCCTATTTTGATCCCATTATTTCAGATATCGTGAAAAAAAAGGGAAATCGATGAAAGGAAAACAAAAGGAAGGAAGAAATTACCGTTTAATTGATTACAGAGAAGAATTTCCACATTCGCTCGTCCGTGCAGGTTAAAGCACCGGTTGATTGAAGACAAACGGAGCCATTGCTAGATCTTTCAAAAGCAACTCGTTTGAGACCAAGAAAGGGAGAATGTAGCTCTGACTACAGTGATTGCGAACTCGATTGGAGCGTCTATGTCTGGGTTTAAGTGTGTTCCAACTCGTGAGATTCGTAATAAATTTTTCAAAGTAAAACGATTTGAAGATAGAACACTTGAAAAATATATTTTCTATTATGTTATGCTTTTTTATTTATCAATGATACTTCGTCATTCTTTTTTTATACGATAAATATGTCTCAAACAATTACTTTCACTATTTTCGAATTAAAACTAATTCTGAAATTAAATTTTTATTATTTATTTTATAAATAAAATGTTTTATTATTTTTTTTCAATTAAATAATTGTTAATTGAAATCTTCGTTAAATCTTTTGTGTTGCATCATGATTCAACAGACGGGAATAATCTAGGGATCATTGATTCGAGACCAAGAGCCAGAGCTTTTAATTCATGACACGAACAACGATGACGCCACTATTGAATCGTTTCTCCCCTTTTTATAGCCTCGAGCTTCATGAACATTTTCACCGATGTTTCCTCCAATAAAAGGAAAGCAATACCTTCTTTCCTTGTGTTCCCCAATTTCGACAGTAATCCCGGAGAATGCAATAAATTTCTCAGAATCGTATCAGATGGTAAACGACCCAAACAAAGACACGATTCTTGGAATCGTTATTTGTCTAGAGACGTAGCACGTAATTAATTGGTATCTTTCTTTTGAATTGCGATCGTGAATTCGATTCAAATTTTATCAATTTATTTTAATAAAATATGAATTATATAGCGCTTCATTTTACGTGTCATGAAAAAAGAAATTTGAAAATGTGTTTAATTAATAAAAAATCATCACTTATACGATCGAAACTGTATCGTTTGAAATTCATGTCATATACATATATTTCACGTATGAAATATTCAAAATATTTCGAAATAAAATATTTCATTCATGCTTTTTATAGAATGACAATTTTTCACCTCTGGAGAAGGGATATAGTTATTTTTTCTCGTACAATTAAAATTTGTCACGAGTGATGAAGTGGCATGCTAAAGTTCAGTTACACTAAACTCAATTATTTGAAAAACGAATCCCATAAAGGATAGGATAAATATAAATTTAAAAATTTTTCGTGAAAACTAATTTTTTCAATTATCTTATTCTAATTATTTTTTTTTTTTTTTTTTTTTTACTTAAAATACGTCAAGTTCATTTCAATTTATGAATCAAAACAAGAATACGATAAATATAAGATAATAATAAAATTCTCTTAGAACTATATAGCTTCATTTTCCCTCATTTTTTTCTTTTTATACAATTTAATTTCAGTTAAGCGTAAAAATAATAAGATACCTAACCTATAACTTTTCATCAGTCAATTTAATACAATAACTTGCTAATATTAAAATATTAAATTATTATATAAAAGGACACAGAATTATGACTTATTTTAGTCATAATTCCATATATAAACATATATATCCAAGAAAGTAGATTAACAACTAAATCATCCAAACATCGAGTAATCAGTACGCATTATTAATCACAGACACATGGAAAGAGACAGATTGCGACAACGATCGCTTCGATCACGTTGAAAGGAAACTCTGTACACGTTAGAGGTTAGTAGTTGTTGCTTGTGTATCGCAGCTACAGTAATCTACGACGTAGTTTCGTCTTCATTTACCAAATGGCCGGTAAATCCGCGCGTCACACACCATCACGGTCATGGGGAAAAAGCAATTCGGCGTCACCGAAACTTAACTGCGATGTAAACTCATCTTGGTCACCTCTATATCTATTTCTAACCTACATCGAACCACTGCTATTCAACAAATCTGTCAAGACTTACGTACCGTGACAAAATACGTCAAGTTCATTTCAATTTATGAATCAAAACAAGAATACGATAAATATAAGATAATAATAAAATTCTCTTAGAACTATATAGCTTCATTTTCCCTCATTTTTTTCTTTTTATACAATTTAATTTCAGTTAAGCGTAAAAATAATAAGATACCTAACCTATAACTTTTCATCAGTCAATTTAATACAATAACTTGCTAATATTAAAATATTAAATTATTATATAAAAGGACACAGAATTATGACTTATTTTAGTCATAATTCCATATATAAACATATATATCCAAGAAAGTAGATTAACAACTAAATCATCCAAACATCGAGTAATCAGTACGCATTATTAATCACAGACACATGGAAAGAGACAGATTGCGACAACGATCGCTTCGATCACGTTGAAAGGAAACTCTGTACACGTTAGAGGTTAGTAGTTGTTGCTTGTGTATCGCAGCTACAGTAATCTACGACGTAGTTTCGTCTTCATTTACCAAATGGCCGGTAAATCCGCGCGTCACACACCATCACGGTCATGGGGAAAAAGCAATTCGGCGTCACCGAAACTTAACTGCGATGTAAACTCATCTTGGTCACCTCTATATCTATTTCTAACCTACATCGAACCACTGCTATTCAACAAATCTGTCAAGACTTACGTACCGTGACTTCTAACCTGTTTTTCAATGCGAAATGATTTCGCTGTTGTATTTTTGCGAGTATCCGCTGATGGCGTTACTGTACATTGAATATTTTTCGTGTTTCGTGAATATTATCGAAGCTCACGGATGGTTTTTAATAAAGGTAAGCGTGAAATAATTTTGTATATGATAAATGATTGGAAGATTGTTGTATTAATGTTGTATTATTAAAAAAAAGTTGTTCACAATGTGATAGAAATATGACAGTTTTAAGAATTGGAATATTCAAAAGAATAAGATTATATCATTAATGATATAACCAAAAAGATTTTTGGACTTTTAAACAAAATATATTTTTTTTCTTTGAATTTCATTGTATTATATTGTCATTTTTTTCATATTCTATACTTTTATTATAATTTATATAGTAATATATTTTTAACAAAACTGTTAAATATCTTTATTTGTATGACACTTTTATATTATTTTTAACTATAAGAAAAGCAAAAAAATATGTGAAAATTATTATTAACATGTACACTTTATACATAAATGAAATATAAGTGTATATATAAAATGTATACTTTTAAGTATATACGAAATGTTTTAAGAATTTAAAAAAAAAAAAAACAATGTTTCTTTCAATAGAAATTACAATAAAGCATACAACGATTTCATTAACACAAGTAATATCATAAACTTTGACGAATAATAGAAAGCATGGAAAAAAAGAATTCTGGTTGTGCTTTTAGCCTGAAGCAATGGTAATTCTTTCTTTTTAATAGATCTTTAAAGGATTCTATTTAGTTTCATAAAAAGAAAAGAAGAATTGAAATTGATCAGTTTTATAAACTCTGCAAAATATTTACTTTTAACAAATTTATTACATATTTCGTCACAAAGAGTATATATACATTTTTCATTATAAATCGATTTAAAAGCGCGTTCAATGTCACTTCCTTATTTAATTCAATAAATTACATAACGCGTGGTTGCAACTATTAACTCGAAAGTTCAAAAAGATTGTAACTTAAATCACGACACTTAAGCCGACGCGTACCTTTGATGAATTTTTTTCATCGGGGGAAAGTGCCATCGAGCTCGAGTAATTTAAATTTCAAGAAGCATCGTGCACGGGGGGCCGGAAGTGCTCGTTACGTGGCGGCAACCCTGACGACAGTGGCGAGAAAATCGGTTCGAATAAACGAAAGCTGACCGTGGTAACGAAACACGAAAATAAATCACTGAATTAAAATGAACGATTCGATCCACAGTGAAAAGAAGAAAGGGAGAGGGATCGAGCAGCCTTGGGCTACGAAAAGATTTTAAGAGAAGCGTTCCAAGCTTTACGTAACGTTCCTTCATTTAGGAAAGGAGGAAACGTTTGATTAAGGATTTCCTACAGTTTGGTCTGGAAATAGTTTTTTCTCGTTTGCCGTCTTGAATTTGCTTTTTGGATGAAAAGAGAAAGCAAGAGAGAAAAAAGTTCTTAAAATAAGAAAGGAAGAATTGGAAAAGAAAAATATAGTGAAAAGTTTTGAATATATATTTAATCAACTGAAGTTTTTTATGATGTATAATATATTTTTCATTTAACTTTATTACCTGAATATTTAAAATTTTAGAAATTAAGCATTTTCTCTCAAATTAATTATAAGAATATGTGTTATTAAAATATTCATGATTTCAGAGAGAAAGAGAGAAAGAAAAAGAAAAAAAAAAACTACATTTTCATCAATATTTAAAATTTCATAAAAATATTTTCTATATAAAAGTTTCATATTTTTGCGTGAAAGTATGTAATATAATATTTTCTTTAAAGCTCTGAATATTCAAAAATTAAAAAAAATATTACATTAACTATACGTAAAAGTATAAAATTTTTGTAAAAAACATTTTTATAAATTTCAATTATAAATTTTAAATAAAACAAAAATCTAATGAAACAAACTGTATAGGAATTTTGGCAATTTCACGATATTTTGTATACTTCATATTTCATAACTAATTATCTTTTGTTATAGATTGATTTAAACGCACAATGAAATATAATATTTAATTCAATAAAATAGGAGAATCAAGAAAAAAGAAGTTTATCGAATATGAAGAAAACGATAGACATTGAAAATAATTCTTCGTAAGAAAAAAAAATATGATGAAAATTTTTTTTCCCCTGAAATATTTTAACGTTAATTACTTTTTCTAACTATTTTTAATTATTTTTATTATATTTTATTAATAAATTATACATATAAATATGCATATAGACAAGTTTGACAGGCATTTCGATTATTATTTTTCGATAAAATATCTTCTGTAATTGATAAATTTAAATGCACCATAAAATACGATATTTAATAGAATTGTTACGAGACCATCACAAGTTCGAAAAACGTTCAATTAATACTGATGAATCGAGTAATTATAGATATACGATTAATTTTTATAATTATTCTGTACACGACACGCACATATTTAATTATAGAATTAATTCTGATATATAAAATTTTATTAAATGTATCTAATAAAAATCTCATAAGTCACACAAGCAGTTTAATATTATTTCGTAAGAAATCTTGAGCTGCATCAATTAATCACAATCACAAAAATATACGATTTCATTTTAAAAGATGAAAGATCAACTTTTACTTTCAATTTAATTTTAAGAAATGGTTCGATCATGGTATATGGAACAAAATGGCGGAAAAAGCAGGGAAATCGAGACTTCTCGACCAACCATTGCGCAATCCCCTTGAAAACAATATCTTGGTAACGTAAAGTCGGCCTTGGAAATTGGATTGTCCTTCAAAAGTCCCGCGGGCGTTCTAAGCGATGATACACTCGATGAGACGCCTGTAAAATGCGTGGAACGGCTTCCTCCTCCACCGACCGGCTCATAATGCTCGAATAAGATGAAATTTCCAGAGAAGATAATTGGACAATGTAAAATGTAGAAAACGTTGATCCTTAATCCTTTTACGACTATGAACCCATATATGCATGAGCTTCTCATGATGAGAATCTTATCGTGAAATGAATTCTAACAGCGTAGAATTCCCTTCAGATCCTAACCTCAATCATAAGATTAATAATACTATCACAGATCATAAATAGTTGCTTAGACGATATCAAACATTCAAGAAATCCACCTTTATATATTAATCACTTGCTCAAGCACTTATCCTATTTCCGAAATCAAACGCGCATCACCGAATTACTTCTAGACTATAACGCCTAATCCGAAAAGGCTATTACCGTTTCGAAACGAGACCCGTAACGATGCTCGTTTCCCAACACTCGCAAAAACTACTCCCCTCTCCCTTTTCTCCCCTCCCCTCTTTTCGGTGACCGCCTCTTCCAGATCGTATATAATCCGTCTTTCGTTCCTGGCACTCGAGAAAAAGCGTCCTCTTCCCTCGCCTTCTCCACCTCCCTCCCTCCCACCCCCTCTTCTTTAATGACAGTCACAAGCACAAGATTCGTGAAAAGTAGGAGGCGTAGTCCACCGGTATAAAACGCCACTTTCTCCCCACTTCCGTCACTTTTCCTTGAGCGCAAGAATGCAAAGCGGAACGAACGTTAAGTAAAAGTAGCGACGGCGCGACGTTTTACGCGCGGTGCGCCGCATAAAGCCTCTTACGCGCAAGTAAATTGTAAGTCCCTTATAGCCGACTGGTCAACAGCGTAAGCACTTTCTCGTTGAGGACGCGGCAAAAACAGCTCGGGACGACATAAGGAGATTAGAGTCGTTATTGCGTGCGCGGTCCCTCCACCGGGTATATAGAGAGGCGAAACTTGCGACGTGGAAAGAGTCGTGGGATTCCAATGGTATTTCCAAAGGCGCGGGAAACCGCGAAAGTGACGGAAAGCCGGGTACAAAAGAATCGGTCCGGCCATGTCGGTATTAGGGGAAGCTGCGTAACCGGCCGAGAGCAAAATGCGTACAATTCGATGGAAAGTGGCAACGATTCTCGACTTCTCGCGTCTTCGTTTTCTTCCTGTTTTTAAGTAGAAACGTCTGGATGATTTGAATTGATGGAAATTTGATTGAGAATATCTTTGTTGTATCTGTGTATAGCTTTGTTTTGCAATATTATAGTTGATTATTGAAAGGTAAGAAGAGTTGTATAAAGGTATTGATTTAAGCGAGAGGTTAGAATTGTAATTTACGTTAACAAGTTGATCAATAAATAATTAATGGAATTCAAATTGATTCAAGTAATATTATGAATTATTCGAAGAATTACTTACAGTGACACGTCAGACTGGTGGTCAGAATCTGTTTATTGGTATCCGCGTACTCGGTAGAACTGAAAATAAAAATATACACAGTACATAAAATGCTTGTTATTAGAAAATATTCAATCATGCGCTCATTCTCAATTATTCATCCATTTCGTACAAAGGAAATCCTCCTATATTAATATTTAACTTTCGTTATTATTGATTCAAAAGAAAGTCTCTTAAAAAAATTCTTCGTATTATATTTTTTTCCAATCACATGATCACATGATTCGACTGCAGTACTGTGTACGCAACGCAAATAACCAACAACGCTCGATCGAAACCAAATTGACAAATCTACAAATCTTCTCTTCTCGGGTCAACAAAACGGACCTTCGTTAAATTTATACCCCGAGCTTAACAAATTTACGAACGGTATCGCCTCGCCGGATATCCAAGCCTCGTATCTGCTTGCACGAACCACTCTGTTGGCGCTCGGTTAATGAAGAATTAAAGTCGGCCTCCGTGTACCTATTACGGAACGGAGGTTGGAACGATACACGGCCAAGCCGTGCAGGAGACCCCGTGGATTCCGAGGATCCGCGAGCGGTGCATGTTTGATGCCGGAAGTGCTTCGAGGCCCGGGCCTACCATCCTCTGGCTGCGGTTTCCGCAACCTCCGTAGGGTCATTAGCCAACCATTCATTATGCAAGTGCGAGGCAGTATTGCGTCAATATAGAGGGGAGAGGAAGAGGGGCAGATTGTTGGCCCAATCGATAACAATGCTCCCTGTTTACCGGACGGATAATCAACAAACGCAGTTTCTGCTACCTCTGAAGACCAAGCAAGTGGGAATTACCCAGTCTGCCTCGTTCCCAATGATATTGCGTCCCGGAAGTATTGCGGCCCCCACCACACCCTTGTCGCCCCAACGTTCGTGTCTGTGTGCGCGCGCTCGTCAACATCCCTCTCGATTTTGACGCTATATGCGTGACATACGCGGCGCTAGGTGGAGATTTGGGAACCGGAGGGTGTTTTTGGCGATTCGCAATTAATTTGGATGATTGTAGAGGGGATGGAGAGTGGTGTTTGGATGGTGGTTTCGGGAACAATTGTCTTTGGAGCTTGTGGTCTTGTTAGAGGGCGTGAATGTTGTGCATACTACATTGTGGATAGCACCAGTGGCAAGAGTGTCGTTTCGCTTCCCACCTTCTCGCGAAAGAACAATAATTTCTCACGCGTCAAGGCATACTCAATTAAAACTAGTACGTTTTGAATAAAAAATTTTGAAGCAAAAAACACCTTTCAATATTCGCATTCACATATCTATCTCCTTCTATGTTTCCCGTTCTGGGAACAATTGTCTTTGGAATTTATGGTCTTGTTAAAGAATGTTGTAACGTTCACGAGTTAAATGGTTAGGCATTAAAACAATGTACTATATCGATATAAAAATATGCAAAAAAAAGAAAGAAAAAGAACAATAGAATAGTCAAAAGCAACGGACACTTATAAAACAAGTACGTTTTGAATAAAAACCTTCGAAACAATCTGCAGTCTCAATTTTCCTTCCCTCCAATCCAAACTCCCAAAAAATAACAAAGATATCACGCGTGTCGTAACGATACCGTGCACCACACACCAGCCAGATTTCCCTCGACCACCTGATATCGTCCCACAAACCTTAGTCACGCAACAAAAACAATCGACCAACCCCCCTATCCTATTCTTCCCTAACCTGTTACTCGGCCTGCTGCATCGAAATCCCGCCTCCTCGTTCCATTCCAGATGGACCACCAGCCAGCTCCGGTCAAGCAGCCAGAATGTTCGATATTCGGCGGGTGCGACAGACAGGAAGTCCGGAAGTATGAAACGAGGAGATGAAAGGGGCGATATTTCGAAACAGGAGGCACGGATGGAGGAGGGGATGGTGAAAGTGGCCGGAGAAAGATAGAGATAAAGATAGAGAGAGAGAGAGAGAGAGCGCCCCTTTGATCTAAGTTTCTGGGAATGCAGGCCGAGCAAGGGACAGCGTGCGTGGCGCCCAGGAAGTTGCCGGTAATTTGCTTAGTTGAATTAGATTGTGAATTTTGCACCGCAGTGTTTGAGACCATCGCCCTCGTCTTCCCTCGGCCACTTACCACTGCAACAACCTCCCACCTTTCCCCTCCTCCTTCTCCTCGCGCCGTTTTCGCCGCCGACCTTATAATTACTGTTCTATCTTCAGAGAGAAGTTTGCCAATTCGTTGCCGGCTACGGGAATCCGCGCTTTGATCCGCCAAGAAGCGGGCGCCACCCCTGCCTGAAGAAGGAAGGGGACACTCGCGGGCGATTATGCCGGCGTGATTTCCGTCGCTTTGATCGCGGGGGAAAGATGATCCCCCGCGATGAAATTATCCGAATAGGATCGGCACTCGCGTTTTGTGCCATTTTCTCGGCACGCTACTTTGACGATTCCTGGGATACAAAATACAAGCTGGGCGTTGCACTAGTGTTTCGTTTGATGTATTTTCAGTTAATCGCATCGAATTTTTTCGAATAAGCAAGCAGATTCGTACCAAGAGACGAAATTATCATCCCTATAGTTTTCATTGCGCCCTGTCGAGCGAAAAATAATACCAAGAAAATCGAGAAGATTAGGGGGGGGGAAGAAAGGGAAAAGATGGTCGACCCAAATTCGATCGTCGTCGAATTCCTGGCGGCGCACGGTCTCGGTGATTCGCGTGCGGATCGCGATATTGGCAGACGCGGCTACATACCGAGGGAGGAAGACGTGGAGGGGGGTAAATATGTATACACACGTATACACGCGGGTGTATCGTTGCACGCACCGGTCGGGGATATAATCCCGTGGAAAGCAAGTGTATGCTACACGGGTTGCGTGCACGTGTGCGAGAGGGGCCACGCGTGCGAATCCTATACGGTGGGTTTCAGGCACGAATGGGGGATCAATGTTTTATCGATATTGCAGCAGACGCGCCACTGATACGTCTCGAGTCGGCCGTCGCGCATATATAGCGCGTGCTTTCTCCCGTTTGCTCCAGGATTTATGGATTAGCGCGTGTTTATCGCCCAACCTCTCGTGCCCCGCCCCCGGGGATCGTTTTTCTGCGGAGGAGCGCCGCGTCGAGTAAGGTGGACGAAACTGATTTTTCTCCACTTTTTCCTCTTTTTCTTTCGGTTTCGCCTTGCGATGCGGCAGCTTAATTGAAGAAGTAAACAGATATGGGTTACTGTTACCTGTACAGGGTCGTGGATGATCGTTAAATGATCGATTTTAATCTCAAGATACTCGTATCGCTGGAAAATCAATAAGCAATTCATTAATTCCAGCAAGTGTGACTACTTTCCAAAAATATTTATGCAAATGCTATGCCACTTGCGTTGCAAACTCCGCTTCCAATTTTATTCTATAAAATATCCAACGATAAAAATTCTTCAACTATTCGAGACGCACGATTTTAATCTAAACTTCTCATATGGATCTTTAACACGTTTAGTAATTTTAAGAAGCGTGACACTTTTCAAAGATGCAATTTTAATTTCAAGAAACTTTTCGAAATTGCTCGAAGGCAGAACAATGGATTTTATCTATTAAAACAATCCATTAATTCTAAGAAATTTATCATATCTAATTTTTTCGTCTCCTATTCTACGAAACATGTGTTCAACGACCGTAAAAGTTCTCGAACCACGCGCGCGCCGTTCAAGCGGAATCGTGGAAACGCTTGTCTCTCCGCATAAAGCATCGATCAACGTGCGGCGCGCCGGCTTTAAGCGCCCAGACGCTGTCAAAGAAGCATCCTCGTGAACCGTCCTTCGTCTCCCCGGAGGCTGGTTTAAAAGACGAGAGCGCAATTTTATCGCTTGGCCTTGGCGTATCGAACACCTCGCCGTGGAAAATTTCCAACGATTAGGGGATGGGGTTGTAAACAAAACAGCGTTATGGAGGAGAGACTTTGCTGGAGAATCCGAAAAACGAAAAAGAAAATAAAGGAAGGAAGGAAGGAAGGAAAATGATGGTGTAATTCGAGGATAAGAGGGCTGGAGGGGCAAGATATGGAAAAATGGGGTGAAAGAGGGGGATGGGGGAGGAGGAAAAGAAAGCAGAGAGATTGCCGCCGTCAGGAAACTTTTGTTAAAATTGGAATTCCTTTGCGGCTCGTTGGGACTAGGAATGCAGATAGAAGGCGGAGGCGCGACGAAAACGGTGAGAGTGGATGAGAGGCGAAAAGGGAAGTGGCTTTGGGAAGGGAAGAGGCGGGGGAGGGGAAAAAATGGCAACGATACGCGATATCCGTCCCGTCATAAAGGAAAGATTCTTACCAGGATACGAGCATGATCGAAGAGTCGAGAGACTAGGTATAAACGTTCGTATATTCCGATTTTAAAGGATTTTCGAAAAAAATATTTTTCGAAAATTTTGTCCAATATTCTTACGTTATAAACAAGAGATATCGTCGTTTTAAAAACTACTTCTCCAATTTAAACTTCTTGTTCAAGTGATCTGAGAATCGAAGAAACGAGATACACGTATATTTCTACATTTCATATTTCAATTTCAATGCACAAAAATATTTTGTTGAAAAATTTGAAGACCTTAAGTTTCAGGTTTTTTTTTTCTCTCCCCAAGAAAAGTGTATTTTAAAAATCTTTCGTAACGTCGATTTGTTGGGATATGCGGCGCAATTACTAACCGCGCGGACGGTTCACGAAACTGTCGAGCAGTCAGGAACGCCGATAAATTCCGCGGGCCGCAATGTTCTTCGACTAGAGGCAAGATCTACATGCCGAGGCTCGAGCCACCGATAAACACATACTATTCGGCAAACCATGGCAGCCGCTTAATTAATTTGCAGCTATCTTACGAGGAGGTTGGAATCGTGGTACATATGTAGCCGCAGCTAAACGCATTAACCCATAATTATCCGAAATTACGGAATCGCCATGTCGTCTCTGAGACATCTTCCATCCTTCACTCTCTCTCTCTCTCTCCTTTACATCTCTTTCTTGCTCGGTCGCGCCATCTCGCGACCTACTCGCGAACACTCGAACAAGCGTTCTTTCATCTTGCTAATTATTCGA